AGGTCTTTCTGCTTTGTAATCTAAAACAGATTTTTTTAATCTGCAATAATTACTGATAATGACATTGCTGCTTTTTATTCCATACGATTGATATGAACATTACAATCTTTTCACAGTTATTTTACCTTAGACATCTGTATTTCTTGTATTTCTTGCTAGTTTGGCATTACTTATCAAGTACTTCAGCCTTATTGAAAAACTTCTTTGATTTTTCTGTTGTATCGGTGATTACTCATCTCTTAATATGCCACAAGTGGTAAAATTAACAATTTTGTACGACCGATTTAAATTAAAAAAAATGAACTTTTGTTGATTTTTTGGGCCACCAAACAACCAGCCTACCAACGAGACCCTATTACTAAGTCTCCGCTGTCCGTCCGTCCATCTGTCAGCGGGCTGTATCTCATGATCCGTAATAGGTAGACAGTTGAAATTTTCGCAGAAAATGCATATTAAGGGCAGCGGCGAACACAAATTATAAATTGCACATATTGACCTTTTTGCAAAATAAAACAGTATTCACGTCAGCTGCATATTCCCACAATAAGTACCGTAACAGATTATCGTGTGAAAGTTACGAAATTAACTTTGCAGTAACTTAATGCGTTAGAATCTTTCCAACAGCAAGAGCAGCTGAGTTAGGTTTATTAAGCAATGTATCTTGGTGTGGACCCCATTGCAATCCACAATTCAGGTTGATATCATTCTGATTATTACACTGCAACGTAATGTCATTCTGGCATCTGTTAAATACAGTGTCAGTTTTATAAAACTAAACCGCCTTTCAGGTTTACTATTAAAATTCACTGCTACTTGTCTCAAACAACTAAATGTCGTTAGTGAAGTGAAAATTTACAAATGGTCGGAGCATATTAGAAGATAAAAAAATATAAAAAAATTGTTATTTTGTTTTTTTTTTTCTTGTAAGTGTTTAAAGTTTACCATTATTATATTTTTGTTCATATTTCGTAGTCTTTTTATGTATTAGGTGACTATTAGTGTTTGTCTTGTAGGCTACATTATGCGGAAAGGGGAACTATCTAGTACGAACACTGCGAATATTTACTTTTTTAGGATGGCTTGCCAAATTCACCTAAATTAAAACAAAATCGCCTGCGCACTCCAAGGTGATTCAAGTGAAGATGAACTCGAGTTAGATGGCGATAGTTTGGCGGATCCTGACTTTGAACCAGATTTTGGAGAGCCGATTGAAGAGTCTTTGGGAGCTGAATTTGACATAGACGCGCTAGTAGACACCTTAAATGATGATGACCGTAACTCCAATTTTGAGGTAGAAGTAGAGCCGGCCTCATCTAGTTCAGACATCCCAGGTACCTCAGATCCCCCTGTAAAACAAAAAAGTAACATTACGGTGGAAAAAGAAGAATTAAGAGCGGAATGCACAGAAGCTGGCTTTTACTGGTAACAAGTCATTGAGTTCTGATATCTTGGATCTTGAAACTTCATTATTTTTTTATTTCCACCAGAACTCATAAAGAGAATTTCGAAAGAGACAAACCTCTACGTGGTACAAAAAGATCGAAACAACACGTTTCGTGTATCGGAGACAGAAATCCGTCAATTAATAGGGGTAGTATATAGGATGTCACTGATTCAGTGCACTAGTGGTAATGGACGCACCTTACCACTGCACACAGATTGACTAATCTCCAACAATGTCAAACTCAAAGTCTCAGTTGCAAGAGCGAAGTCTAGTACCTAGGTATGGTAATGTAAAACAAAATATCAATAAAAACGAAACAAATAGAGATTAACTGTATTATTTTCTTATTTCTAAATTACTTTCCCTTTATTCATGTCCATACAAACTTTCACATTTATAACTCTGTTTTGCATAGAGATTTTGCTATTTACCTGCCATAGAACATGTGTCATTTAAGCTTTACCAAGTGGACAATGAGTAAAATCTTATCATTTCACTGGCAACATTTAGCTATCTCTATGATAGTTAAATAGATATATACAATATGGTTTGTATCTTTACTTATTAATTGATGTACTACCATATTTAGTAGTAAGTACCACCATATATACAAGCAATAATTATTATTTAGCTGATATTTCATTAACAGGTACGAAAATTATCAACTTGAACTTTTTGTTCTAATTCTAGTACATCCAGCTTTTACACCGAGACTTATCCTATTTTTTTAGTACTCGTACTGGATTTTCTTTTGGACCTTTGCGTGATATTAACTCTCATGTTTTTAATAATACATTGGCCTTACACAAGTAATATGTTCCTTTACGGTTATAAATTATAACCAAGTTGCCGAAATACTTCAAACTTTGGACTATGAAGATGAGGAAGAAGAGCTTTTTTGCTGCCCAAGTTGGTGATAGTGACGAATATGTTGAGACGATGTCGTGAGCACGGAATCAGAAAGAAGTAGTGATCATGAAGTTAGTTGACGACCATGTGATAGTGAATTCTTTACTATAGTACGGTCGAGACCACGAGGGCGGGGACAGCAGTGAGCTTTTTCGTGGCCAGTCTTACTCAAGACGACCGCATTGTACGACATTGCAATCAAGAATCAGAGGTGACTCTTCCAGTTGTGCTGCTCATGAAAATATTCAAAAAGATTGTACAAAGAAAAACTTTCCGTTGAACATCCCTTTCTTTCTAGGTCTTTTTTTCTACCGACCTCAAAAAGGAGGCAATTCGACTGTATGTTTTTTATGTGTTACCTCATAACTTTTTTCTGGATGAACCGATTTCGATTATTCTTTTTTTATTTGAAACCTTGGGCTTCTCATGTGATCCCATATAAATTTGATCAAGGTCGGACCAATAGTTTTGAGTTATTCTTAATAATTTATATTGAAGTCGGTTGTACAAAATTTGTAATTTTAAACATCCATAAAAACCCACGTTAATGAACACATAGGTGATGTGAAGAATAGACGCTCCGGGAAGTCTGCAGTCTGTGAACACGTACAGGATCACCCCCGTCACTACATTAGATTTGATAGATCAAAAATTCTCGCTAAAGAACACTTATTCCTTCCAAGGATGATTCGCGAGACTATTGAAATCATAAAACATCCTAATTTCAATAGAGAAGAAGGCTGGGTGCTACCATCTGCTTGGAAACCCACAATCAATAAAATTAAATCCCAACCCAAGCATACAACTGCAAGACTTCAAGATTCTGTAAGTTCATACTGCGTAGATCGGAACAAAAATTAACAATTTTATTCTGGAGTTAGCCGTGGTTAACTATGACATTGGGACGTCATGCACCTCAGTTCCCGTGACCATGGGTGCTGTAAAGTACTCGAAACGTCGGGAATATAAAATAGGTTAATATACGCGATAAAATCCGTAAAACTAGTTTTATTTAAATGTGTAGTGTTCGCGTAAATATAAGAAATCATTTTTAATTTTAAATTATATTTGAAACAAGATGTGTAAAATTTGTGCAAAATTGATTTTTTGAACAATATTTTGAGGAAGACCTTGTCTCAATAGTCGTTCGGAAAAACGAATCAAACAGCAGTCCATAGAACTAAAAAGAATATAACGTTTACTAATGGAGAATGCAAAGTCTAGAAAAGGATATTTATGTTAATGTCTTGTATTAACATAAACAGGTATCCTGACTACCAGAATGAAATCAGAGATCAACACATTAGTGTCTATGGTATGATGATTCCCTTTTCCGGAGCCTGTTGTATGCGTCGGTCTATACCGAAATGTTAGAAGTTGCCGTAGACCTAGTCAAAAGTAGAAAAAGTTCGTCCCTAGAAGCCTCAAAACGATTCCACATACCACGGCGAACTATCGAAAATAAAGTAAAAAATAAACATAATAAAAAACCAGGGGGCCAACAAAGACTTACCTATTCTGAAGAAAAACAGATAGTAAATGTTTTAATAGCAGCAGGAGATTTTGGCGCTCCCCTGTCACGATTAGATTTAAGTTTTGTTGTATTTAATTACTTGAAAGGAAACAATATACAACACATTTTTAATAACAAACCGCCAGATAAATGGTGGATAAGTAATTTTCTGGCTCGCCATAAGGATAAACTAACAACCCGAGCGGCACAAAATATCAAAAAAGTTCGCGCTGCAAAACTGTCGATGAATTTACTATTTATTTCGCAAATCTAAAAGATACCTTAAAAGACATACCTGCAAGTAATATATTAAATTACGATGAAACAAATCTCTCAGATAATCCAGTCAAGATGCATTTTTAAGCGCGAAATAAAATATCCTGAAAGAGTTCTCAATCACACCAAGGATAGTATATCGATTATGTTTGCAGTGGCAGCAGATGGAATACTTTTGCCAACTTATACTGTTTATAAAGCAGAGCATTTGTGGACGTCACGGTGTCAAAATGGACTAAACGGTAGCAGATATAATTGAACTAAATCCGGCTGGTTCGATTCCACTGTTTTTGAAGATTGGTTCCAGACAATCGTTATACCTTGGGCTGAAAAGCCACAAGGGCCCAAAGTGGTTATTGGTGATAACCTTTCTAGCCATTTAAGCTTGAATATAATACGCCTATGTGAAGAAAAAATATAAGATTTACATTTCTGCCTCCTAATTCGACGCACGTTACACAACCTTTAGATGTCGCATTTTCTGATCCACTTAAAAAAATGGCGTCAGATTTTAACTACCTACAAATATGAAAATCCATCAGAAAGTCAGTTAAATAAAACTCTTTTACCATTATTACTTAAATCTCTCATAGATGCAATAAACGTGACAAGCAAGGAAAATATAATTTCTGGGTTAAAGGCTACAGCGATAGTCCCTTTTAACCCTGAAAAAATTTTAAGGAAGCTTTCTGAATGTGATGAAGAAAATAAATATAAAGTTGACACCGCACTTTTGGATTATCTAAAAGCTAACCGGTCTGTAAATCCTCTTAAGAAAACTATAAATAAAAAGTCAGTATTGTTGAACCCGGTGCATCAGTTTCTTCTGAAGGAATAGAAAACTTGTCAAAGAAACCAATGAAAGAAAGAAAATCGAATAAAAAAGGTCTAATAAAGAAACTGAAGGCTGAGGCTCTGAATCATACTACATCTGGATTAGAATGCGAATTTCAAAACCCAGTAGCTTCACTAGAACCTATTATGAATCAAAAACCAGAATTCGACTCTACGTCTAAGTCAGGTGGAGAAAAAGTAACTATTTTATCTGAAATAAAATTCGGTCCATATAATCGTGCTTACACTGATTTGAAAAAAAGTAATTTGCAATTGCATGTAATATATAAAACTCACGATATATATTCAACATTATCACACACACCGAAACGGTCTTATTTCAAACCAGAAATTGATTTAAAATTATTTGGCTATTACAACCCGGTCAACCCGGTAGCATCGACTTCCACAGGAAAAGTTGATTTGACTTTATCTAATATCAGAAAGAGAAAACTTGGTAAAAAATTACTCATAATAAAAAAAGATTATTAGAAGAAGAGACTGATGAGGGCAGTGATGATGAGTATTCATTAAGAGAGTCTTCTGATGATGGAACTTTTATTTCTACATTAGAAGAAAGCGATACAGTAGAGGAATTAGAAAGGAATATTTTAGAAAAAAACAACACAAAGTTCTTCAGAAAACATGGTAGAGAAACAAATTAACAGTTTCCTTCTCGTTAGATTTAGAGGACATAAAACGAATAAGTTTTATGTTGGGAAGATTTTAGAGTTAACGGAAAATTCGGGAATGCTGGTTAAATTTATGAGAAGAAGGAAGGCGGACCTTTTTCATTGGCCTGACGTGAATTATGTTTTATTGTGGAATCCGATGTGGAGTTGGTCTTAACAAACCCCCGAGAGGGTCGCCGGAGAACATTTAAATTTGAGGATATTGATTACTCAAAGTACAATGTCCAATAAACTGGTCATATAGAAGCAATATTCATAAGGACATTCTGATGGCTCGGAATTTAACAATAAGTTCAAAAGTAACATAATGAAACATTGAACCTTTGTTCAATTACGTATTCACGATTTTAAATTAAGGATTATAAAATTATTTATTTTTTAAATTAATTTTTTTAAATTATTAGATTACAAAATTCAGGTGGATGTTGCTGGTTTTGCTTTTACATAACTTGAGTATCTTGGACTGTACTTAAGGAGTCCTAGAAATCTGAAACTATTTCTTGCCGATACCAATTCAGCCTAATTCTTCTTTATAGCCAAAGAAAAGATTTTTATATTAATTCTTTACTTAATTAATATAAGTATTTCATTTGTGTTTAAAGATATAGGTATAAGTGCAATATACTTTAGTGCCAGGAAACATCTTGAATAATCATCTAATTAATCCTGCTATAAGTTCCTAAGCTACTGTTGTACTACTTACACTGTATTTTAGGTTTGTATTAATTAATGAAACTGATATGCAACCCGCAATAAACACATTTTATTCTTTCGTGATGCCTATGAACGCAACACATAAATGCAAAATACAAGAAAATAAATTGAAATACTACTGAAATCTAAATGTTAGTCAGTGCATTGACGCGCTCCAAACAATATCCTTAAATTTCTGTAGATAGACTTCTGCACTTGTAAATTGCATTTATGTACTTTTATACCCACCAAGGAATCACTATCGTAAATATTTCAAGTTCATAAAAACTACGAATAGATTTGACAACCCTAATCAAAATCTTTCTCTTTTTTGTATGAAGAATTTTGAAAAGTTTGGTAAATTTGCCACTTTCTTAGAAAAAATATTACCAGTGCTAAATAATGGGATTATATTATTTTCATATTGATGGATAGAGGCCAAGTCCTGCTATATATTTTTGTTCGAATGTAATTCTTATTAAATATTATGTTATTTTCGTCTGGCAATCTGAGCAGAAGTGATCATAGACTTTGCTACATTTTTCTTTAGGCTTTTAATAAAGAAAATGATTTAAATGAAGGATTTTTTTAACCCGGCGGTACTCGCTAGGTGTTTACATGCACGAATACTCGCTACCGGGTAAAAAATACCACATAATTTAAATGACATTATCTTGGAAAAATAAGTTTGCATTACAAACTTTAATGGTGTATTTAGTTTATTAATACTAATGTCTAATAAATAAAAGAAAATTAAAAGTTTGAATTATCATCTACATGACTGATATCATCGTGAAACCGTTTCATTATCCGCCAACGAGCAGCTTGTATTTGAGTATTTGAAGCCGCCAACGTGCGATTCTGGGTACCAAATCTCGTTTTGTAAGAGTACTCCGTACAGCTGAGCAGTCCGTTACGACCTTAAAACGTATGCCCGTGATGTAGATCTTAAAACGTTTCAGAGATTCAACAACCGCCAGTTCCAACTCGTAAATATGGTAAATCAGTTCTTCTTTTGTTGTTACCCTACTAAAATATATTACGGGTTTGAGCTCACCGCCCGGTTGTTTCTGAAGAAGTATACCCGCTATACCTAATTTATAGGCGTCTGGATGGATTTCTGTGTCATACTTCCGATTATGTAACGCTAAGACCGGTTTATTAGAAAGCAATAACTTTACTTTCGAAAAGGCGCACTTTTGTTTGCTCCCCAATTCCAACTCACATTCTTCTTGGTTAATTCAGTAAGAGGTCTTGCTATAATTGCGAAGTTGTGGATAAATTTTCGAAAATATGAACATAATCCCATTAATTGTCGTACTTGATGGACATTCTAAGGCGTAGTGAAATTCGTCATAGCGTCTAATTTTCTATCACCAGGCTGTTACCACATGTCCCAAATAATTTATTTCAGTTTTGAGGAACACACACTTCTTCAAATTTAACTTTAGATTAGTCTTCCTCAAAAGCTGCAAAACTTCTTCAAATATCAACAGGCCTTTGTTAACATCCAATGATGGTAGTAATAAATCGTCCATAAAAGTTAAAACATCCTCATAACGTAATGATCCAAGTAGTTTATAGATAGTCCTTTGAAACAACGCCGGTCCATTGGCCAATCCAAAAGGGACCCGTGTATAATCCCATTGCCGTTCTGGGGTAATAAAGGCTGTGAACTTTGTAGAGTCTCTCGCTAGTGGAATTTGATGGTAGCCTTGTGCCAAGTCTAAACTAGTATAAAAGCACTTACCTGATAACTTATTCAATTGATCATCTTTTTGAGGTAAAAGGGATCGGTCTTTGACGGTAATAGCGTTGAGTGCTCGGTAATCAATACAAAGCCGACTATCTCCATTATTTTTCTTTACTAGGACAACTGGTGATGCGTAATTAGACTGCGACTCTTTAATGATTCCTGCATCCAGTAAGTCCTTAATCTTGGCTCGTACAATTTCGAGCTCTTTATACCCTAACCTATATGGTTTATGAAACACTGGAGTCTTTGAAGGAAACTCAATAGTCATTTCGAATAAATTCGTTACTCCGAGATCATGTGAATTAACAGCAAAACAATCTTGGTAGTCCAATAATAGCTCAAACAATTGACATTGGTCATAGTCAGATAAATCGCCTACAGCTATGTCAGGAACCGGTGTACTTGCAAGTTTTAAGGTACGTAAATATTTGTTTCGAATTTGTTTGGAAATATTGATCGAGCTGCTCCCGCACCGTGAATTCCACGACGAGCGTTCCGCCCCAGAGTTACCGCGGCTTAAGTTCAGTATCAGTAAAAAGCAATAATGTATAATAATCAAGCTAATTAATATAAACTCGCACAGAAATCATGTCGTTTATGAAAGTGCGGTAATAATACACTCGAGCATACACTCAAAAGGTCAAAAAGCAGAAACAAGTGTGGAACAGACACAAACTGGTGCAGAACAGACCTATACAGAACAGACCTGCACAGAACAGACTTATATAGAACAGACAGAATTTGTAATACAGGCAGAAGTCTCGAAGCCACAGACAGATTAAATATATAAAAACAATTACGCACCTTCATAATTTATATTTTACACATAATCATAATTTCACACGGCGCAGCTCGTGTAACTAAGTCACCTTTCCTCCATTTTAACTGTTCTTGTCCCATATTATAAATGCGTAAATATCCATTTTGTCCAGTTAGTAAGGCAGCAGGTATCGCGAAGTATTTGTTATTTAGATCATGGACTCTCGGTGAAGTACAAACATCACACAATCAAATGTGGGGGAATACATGAAACGTTTAGCTCACCAACGGCTCAACCGCCAACACGGTGGTCTCATTGAAAATAAGAAAATTTAAAATAAAGACAAATAAAAGCAGTGATTAGTGACGACTGTTATAACTAATAGTAACAAGAGAGGGTGATGTGATAAGTGTTTGAGAGTACCTTACGGTAGGTAGTTAGGTACTTAGTACTTAGGTACTCTCCGGCACCGCTCTGTTTCTTTGATAATAAGCCGTCAAAGAATCGGACCGATTACGAGTAGGTACAAGATGCGTTGCGCGATTGCCAGCGCGCGAAGCGACGCGTTGCCGCTCAGAGTTAACGTAAACCAGCTAGGTAAGTAATTTCATGAATGAATTTTTGCAAGGGTGATTGATACCAATTTTAGTTACATTTTTATTATTAAGTTTGTTTGAAAAAAAAATCCATTTACTAGTTATTTTAACCTATTGTTACGAGTCGTTGCCGGAATCACGCGAGCAATTCCGAGCGGGTTGGCGCCACCAGGGCGCGCCGAAACACTACACTACGAATTCGAGCGTCGGCGTGTGCGACGGGTCTTGTGAATAATAACTTGAGTGTTGAAAGTATTAAATGAAACGAAAGTGATTGAATGTATTGAGGTATAATGAACAGTTAATTGTACAAGTGAATTAAATGTATTGAATTGCATAAGAAACGTTTCATTTTACATTCAGAAGTGGGATATTAATAAAGGTACTTATAATGAAACGAACAAAAAAATTATAGGAACAGTGTCTTTTTAAACAGTAACTCAAAAAAATCTAGATCTCATTCGGATATCGCGACTAGTGCTGTGTCTTCCAATCACGGTGATTCTGAAGAGGATATACATCCTAATGTGTTACTTGAGCAATTATTAACCGATAAATTAGAAAAGATGGTTGAAAAGTTTTGTGGTGATTCACGGCCGTTGTGGAATGTTTCGGGTGAGAAAATTATACCCACTTTTGATCCGGATAATTATGACACTAATATTAAAAATTGGTTGGCAAAAATTGATTAGTTAGGTTCACAAATGGGATGACTACTCTAAAATAGTCATAATGCAAACTCGTCTTGTAGTCCAAGCTCAGTTATGGTTTAGTCGTCTTGACGAATATAATTATACTTGGGATCAATGGAAATCTTTATTGATCAAAGCAGTTCCTAGAAGTTTCGAGTATGCTGACATGTTAGAAGAATTAGTATCCAGTAAAAAGATCGATAATGAAACAATAACACATTACTATTGTTACGAGCTTGGGGTTCGAGATAATTAAAAACTGCCGAATGAATTACCAAAATTGACACTTTAATTACACAATACTAATTACAACTTAAATTCACACTAATAATAAAACACAGTTGTACCACTGATCACTTTAGTTCGCCGTTATTTCGCTTCGATTATTCTCTTGTATCGCCAATTAAATACTGACCCGGTCGTGGTCTATACCGGCTTTATATAGGGTCTCAGATAGTTTCCAGAACTTTCTACTGTAGCGACATCTAGAATGTTCGAGTACATACCGGTCCCGAAATTTCTAGAAGGATCTTGACTCTCCTAGTTCTGCTACTCGACACTAGAGGGCGCTAGTGGTGACTAGTGTTGCCATGTACAAGACATAAATAGTGGCGCGCAACACTATCATGATAAATTAGCAATGTGTCATCGCTGTAGATTAGACGACGCCGCCTCTCTCTTATTTAATTAAAGGGCTGCCACACGATTTACAAAATAATGCAAAAGCATTCAAA